TTAAGAATATAAAAGTTTGTTATAACACGCTATAGAAAACTGCTTGGTGATTAGGCGAGGCGAGACTCCAAGGTCACCTTGTTGCCTAGGCATTGCCTTGACAACTATGTTTCTCTGTTAAATCTATGGCTGAAAAACTAACTCAAGGTTCTAATGTGGAATTCCCTAGCAAGCAGATTTGGGTCCCTACTAGTCCCTCTATTCTGGTTTGGGTACTTACTGGCTCTAGACAAATGTTTGTCTAGAACGAATTTGCTTAGGCATGGGATTCAGATTCCTGATCTGAACTGTGGTCTATGTGGCTTGGTTCATGAATCTGGTGATCATCTTTGCATTCATTGCCCTCTGTCTGCTAAGTTATGGGAGCATTTCATCAAATCAGCCGGCATCATCTGTGTCATGCCTCGATCTGTAAAGGAGGTGCTGTGTAGTTGGAAGCTTTCTGGTCTGAGTAAGAGAGGGAGGCTGGTCTGGAAAACAATTCCTGCAGATTTGGGTCCCTACTAGTCCCTCTATTCTGGTTTGGGTACTTACTGGCTCTAGACAAATGTTTGTCTAGAACGAATTTGCTTAGACATGGGATTCAGATTCCTGATCTGAACTGTGGTCTATGTGGCTGGGTTCATGAATCTGGTGATCATCTTTGCATTCATTGCCCTCTGTCTGCTAAGTTATGGGAGCATTTCATCAAATCATCCGGCATCAGCTGTGTCATGCCTCGATCTGTAAAGGAGGTGCTGTATAATTGGAAGCTTTCTGGTCTGAGTAAGAGAGGGAAGCTGGTCTGGAAAACAATTCCTGCAGTTATCCTGGTCACTGTTTGGTCTGAAAGGAACAGTCACATCTTCTGCAACAAAGCTAGAGCTCCTGAAGACCTGCTTAAGACTGCTGCCAATAGACTTGCTTCTTGGTTATCTGTAATTTCAGAATTTAAAAATCAGAATGTCTTTCAACTTCTTGAATCCCACTCCATTTGGACTTTGTAATTTGGTAGTTTTTGGAGGAGTGGAATATTGACATTTTATCCTGCAATTGGACCAAATATGTTCAAAATTGACTGGGTCATGTTGATAATTCTCATTGTGGCTGGTTAGTTTTGATGATGTTAACAAATAGTATGCTGTTATCAGAATATTGTGAGAGTGAGATTTATTCTTCTATTTGAGTTTGGTTTTGATGATTGTTTAGTACTATGATATTATCCCTCTCTTTTCTAGTTGTCAGCATATTCATGTTGCTCATGCAAACTTTCTTGTCATGTGTAATGGAAGAAAACTTGAAGGAAAACTCATATAATCATATGCTATGTTCAATTGGTGGTATTCTGTAAAATTCCAATTGCTTGAAACTATTGTTACAGTGACACAATAATTGCCAAAAGGAACAATGTTTTAAAATTGAAGAGCATGATGTATATACTTATCTATAACTCAAAATAAATAAGCAGTATTGCATGGACACCCCACTCTTGGAGGGGACTTGTGTCCAGGAGTCATCCTGTGTCTGACTCTTCAAAATACATGTTGGGCTCAGCCAATGATTTAAAAAGGCGCGCCTAGGCACATAGGCCAGGTGCATTTCAGGGTATGTGCCTTGCCTAGGTCCTAGGCGCAGCCTGGTGCGCCTAATACGCCTTGTGCCTCAGCCCAGGCGTGCGCCTTTTGAAAATTTGATGTTTTTTTGCTTTTTTGAACATAGCGGCTAGGCTGGGGGCTCCGCCCCCGGACCCCCGTGCCACACCCCTCTAGGCAAGCCCAAACAAGTCTGCATTAGGTCTTAATAAAATGTTGCTCATTCATTCATCCTAATAAAATGTTTTCTTAAAAAGCAATTAAAACTATAAAATCATTGCTTTTTGTGTGAAAACTAAGAATTTAAGACCTAACGTGGACTTGTTTGGGCTTGTCTTGAGGGGTGTGGCACAAAGGAAGCTTGTAGAATCAGGAATGTAATATGTTTTACATTACATTAGTTACTTGAAGTAATGCAATTGAGTGAAAAAAGAGATTAGAGGTTTTACATGCTTGAAAATGTTTTATATGTTTGATTTTATTTTTTAAATTCTCATTTGAACATGCTTTACATCTTATGTTTATGTATTTTAATTTTAGATAATAGGTTTTTTAAAAAATTTATTTTAAATTTTAAGTTTATATTTTTATTAATATTATGTTTAATATTTTTTTTTGATTTTTTGGCATTTTTTAAATTTCTGACATTTTTTTTTATTTATTAGCATTTTTTTTTGTATTTTTGCGCCTTGCTTCAAAAAGGCGCGTGCCTCGCCTTGCGCCTTGCGCCTCAGGCACAAATTGACCCCTGTACCTTTTTTGTGCCTTGCGCTTTTAAAACACTGGGCTCAGCTATAGTGTGAATTAGGTTGACTTAGCAAAATACCTGCAACCTAGACTCTAAAAAATTACAAAGCCTCACCTTAAATGCCTTTGTTTAATAACAGTCCAATCATTCAAACTATTCTTGTTGTACATGGTTTTCTTCTTTAATGAATTTATACTTCACCTGTTTCAAAAAAAAAGAAAAATCAAATTATTCAATAGGGGACTCATATTTGTACTTCCCCAATTTACACAACTTATGACCCATTGTTTATTGGATTTTTTTTTCCAATTAACATTGAAATTAGGGAAATAATGAAAAATGACTAGTGTGACTACGTGAAAATAAGCAACAGTTGTAACTATGTCAATTGTAAATTGTCACTTAACTATTTAAACTGTTATACTTATAATACTATGAACTTTAAGAATAGTATAAAAAAAGTCATAATATCTAATATAATCATAAAATATCATACATGTGAGAGGTGTCCACTAATCCTACTCTTTTTAGGTTCACCAAGTTGGACCCTCAGAAATGTGTTGGGTTCTGATTCTCGTGCCTGTATCCATTCAAAACTGGAAATAGGTGGAGATCGGCAAGTTAAATCCTGTGGCGTTGCTTCAGAGCTGCATAAACAATCAAATGTAATTAAGTGCCATGAGTGCTAAAACATTTTAAATTTTAATTATATGTGTATTGGCTGCAAAGACCTATAAAGTCAATGTCACATGAATATTAGATACAAATGGAGCATTTCAGAACTCTAGTTATAGCATAGGTTTTTATTAGATGGAGGCAAAGGGGTATCTCTTTTTGCCTATTCTGTATATTCTTAAAATTTCTTAAGTTGATTGCTATCTTTATCATCTGTTTAATCTCTTAAAACTTTTCATTCTGGATGAGCAGGATTCTTTCACTCGTTGTTTCAAGTCAAATCCGTCAGAACCTTGGAATTGGAATGTATATTTATTTCCACTTTGGTGCTTTGGAGTGGTGGTAAGATATGGGATTCTTTTTCCTGTTAGGTGAGTCCTTTGTTTTTGAAATTAATATTGTTGACATTTTTGTGGTGACTGTTATTTTTTTAGCATTCATAGTTTTAGTATCCCATCATAGTCCTAATTTTTCCTTAGTAATTCCTTTGTATGCTTATTTTTATTCTTAATTGATAATTATTTTATATCTAAAGCTTTCTTTCCATGGTAGTTGATTGGTTATTCACCAATTCTTTGTAGTTGGGAAATAGAACAAAATTCAGAGTTATAAATCACACCCTTCTGTTTTTACTATTTTTTTTTAAAGAATTGCAGATCATATGGCCTTGACACCCCTTTATGTCATGTTTTCTTAGTTTTCCTCATCTGGCATTTTTTTTGCAAGTTTTTATTTCTTTGAAATCCTTTATATATGTTAATAGCTTTATTTTTTTTTCTGCATGATTTCCTGATGAAATTCTTGTTCACCACTCAAGGTTATGCATTTCAGTCTGAAAAACTGACATACTCGTGCAAATTAAGTTTGCTATTGTTTAAATTTTTTTATTTTTTATTTTTATAAATGAAGAATTTATTAATAAACCACTGATATAGGATACACTTGGAGAGGTACAAGCTGCAACCTCTCCAACCCATCAAGAACTAAGAAGGATTTACAATTGAGCCCAATACAGATTTTCCCTATTTTCCCCTTGCTTGGCTAAACAATCAGCCATAGCATTGGCAGATCTCCCTACCCATTGTATTCTAACATCCAAATTCCTCGTCAAGCATTTGAATCTTTTAAGTTCATTTTTGAAGCACCAAATTGTAGTCTCTGGTTTTTGTAACCACCCCACAACCACCTGAGAATCACCTTCTATTAGTAGCTGCTCCACTCCTAGCTGTACAACAAACTGTACCCCTTGTAGTGCAGCTAATAGTTTTGCCCTCGTGGAGTCCCCTTCACCTAAAGGACCAGAAAATAGAAAAGTTACAGAACCACTTACATTCCTTATAACCCCTCCCATCCCAGGAAGACCTGGATTGCCCAGACTACTACCATCAAAATTTAACTTCATGAAACCTTCAGATGGGGGTACCCAGCTCATTTGCATCTTTGTCCTCAGAGAAGAATTGTTTGCCACTTTCTGCCCAATGCCTCCACAGGTCATTAAAAGAGAACTGCTGAAATAAATCTAGAGATTTTAACCACACTATAGCCCTGTATAGGATACATTCCTTTAGATCTTGTTGGCTTTGCACCTTCTCTTGGAATATTCTGGCATTCCTCTCTTCCCACACTGTCCAAAGCAAAGCTGCTCTTGCAACCCTCCACATTATTCTTCCTCTTCAATGGTGCCAAACAAAGGTAAAAGGGTCAAAAAGCCTGCTTACATCTGCTGGCCTATTCCACCTGCATCCAAAAATCAAGAAGAGCCAATCCCACAAATCTGCTGTAACAGTACAGGAAATTAGTAAATGGTTGCAGTCCTCACCAAAGGATTTTCAAAGAGTACACCAATTGGGCGGGAGGCAGAGAGAGGGCCTTCTCCTATGTAGATTATCTAAGGTATTTACTTTCCCATGAAACACTTCTCAACAGAAAGCCAAGACCTTAGGGGGAATAGGCTTACACCAAACCTCCTTAAAATGGAAAGAAAGAGAATATAGAGGATGACATAGGGCCTTGAAGAAAGAAGCACAAGAAAAATTCCCTGAGGGCACAAGAGTCCAAAACCTTTTATCTGGTTCCGTGGGATCCAAATACACTTTTTCAAGAGAATTCAATAGGCCAGTTAGACTCACAATTTCCTCATCCCTTAGACCTCTTCAGAACCCAAAGTCCCAGGCTGGAGTTAAAGGAGATTCCAAAGGGGAACAAAAAGAAGAAACAAGTTCTTTCTTATACAGAGAGATAGAGAATAAGGATGGAAAGAGGTCCTTCAATGTAACCTCCTCAACCCAAACATCTTTCCGAAACAGAACCGAATTACCAATACACACATCAGACCTGAGAAAATTGTTGAGTTGAGGGAGAAGACTGTGGATTGCCTTCCAAGGTGTTGCCAAAGTTGCCCACTGAGAAACACCAGCATCCCATCCGCTCTCTCTGAGTGGCCATGAATACTTCCTATCACCTCATACCACAATCTTTCTCTCTCTAATGGCCATCTCCATAGCCATTTCCCAAATATTGTTTATTGTTTAAATTTTGTTGGGACAGGATAAAGGTGAAGATCATTCATAATGAGCTTTTTGCAACTGATATTTCACGGGTTGTAACAAATTTCAGGTCTATATTTGCTTATGAGCCAAAAGAAGAAAAACCATGAAGTTTATTCATTTCTTGGTCTTTGAATGGGATGGAGTTGGCTCTTTTAAGTTTTAATTAATCCATCATTGATGGATTAGGATGAAATAATTTTTCCCAGAAGAAAACGAAGAAGCTGAATTTTAGCCATTGAATACCTTTTGATCAAACTCTAATGAAACATGAACCCTGTAATGGAGCCTATTACCTTCCTGATACCTCTACACTTGTCCCCAAAATCATTGCATTTTTGTTCCATATACCAGCATAGTGCAAGTTGAAGTGATCTCTGTATGATATGTACTCAGTGCTAAGTGTTATTCAGAATTTTGGATTGTGTCTCTCATCAGAACTTGATTTTTGAGATTTTAGTTGCCTGACTGATCTTTAGAACTTAGTTTCTTGAAACAAAGTCGGTATTCTCATGATTCAAATAATCTAGGCTTTTATTTTTCAACGGTTGAGTTAGCATTTAAGTCTATTCTTTCCTTTTTGTCATTAAGTTTCACCATAAAGGAGGACCTTTTAAGTGATTTTGATGTTTTACATTTGCAAAAGAAGAGTAGCCTGGGTTGAGAGTTAATGGCCATAAAGGACCTTTTCAGTGTTTTGGATGTTTTACATTTGAAAAGAATTGAATGCTAATAGGGGATAATCATAAATCACTAGGGCTGCAACTTGGGTGGGGTTGGGTTAGGCATTTATTAAATTTTAAAAGGGTGCCCCAAAGGCCTGGGCTCAACACAGTGGAATATCTTGATTCTTGAAATTGGGTATTGAATTTGCATCCCTACAAATCACTGACCTGGGAAACAAGATTCTTAGGCATAGGACACTTTTCTATAATGGTGTTCTTGGTGGGTGTACAAAGGATATTTCATGGTGTCCAGCTTTATTCTCTTTTGCAAGTTGGACCTTTCTTTGGGCAACTTCTGAGGTTTTTGTCACCAGGCAGAGGAGTCTCTTTAACATTTGTTCTTCGACTGCCCTGTGATTAAACATATCTGGGCACAGACAGATGATCCAACTTTCACTAATAACTTATCCACTCTGGCTTGTTGCTCGGCAATTCTTTGGATTATATGGAAGGCTCGCTGCAAGGTAGTTATGGAGAATGGCTGCTTTGACCCGACCCATGTGCTTAACTCTATTGAAACCCAATTTCTGGATCTTCAAGAGACAACTTTGCATTTTGAACAAAGTCAGATTTCTCCATCACCTTTCCATCATGCTGTATCTTGGATTAGGCCCCCTACTAATTGGCTAAAAATCAATTTTGATGGGGCATTGTCTTCTGAGAAAGCTGGAGCCGGGGTTGTCCTAAGGGATCATAATGGATTGGATCGGTAGTGTTAGTAAGGGCAGTTCCCCTTCCTTTGTGCTCATCAGCGGAATGTGAAGCTAAGGCACTACTTGAGGCTCTCAAGCTCTCTGTGGACCTAAATCTGAACTGTATTATCCTCGAGGGAGATGTGCTGCAAGTAATTTCTTCTCTGTTAGGGGAGGATCTTTCTCTTCCTTGGCGAATTACCAATGTTCTTGCCGATTGCAGAGAGCTGTTAAACTCAATCTCCCACTGCTCAGTTACTCACATTAGAAGAAATGGGAAGATAGTGGCTCATAAGCTGGCCCGCTACTCTCTTTCTCTTTCTAGAACTCACACCTGGTCATCACCACCTCAATTTATTTCTTCTGATTTTTAGAAGCTGATTGTAATACTCCTTGAGTAGCTTTGAACAATTAATTGCCTTAAGGTGTAAAGAAAAAAACTTCTGAGGTTTTTGTATATTCTCCTTGTACATGGGCTGGTGTAATTGATTTTCAATATCAATACAATACTTATTCAAAAAAAAAAAACAGATCTTTGTATATTGTGACAAATTGGCAAGAACTCTTAGAAGAGGAAGCAAGATATGATAAACCTCACTGTGGATGCAAAGAATATCAAATAGAGCACCATAATTATTTAATGAAAATACAAAGTCATAAGCCATCTCTGAAAGATTGTCCTCAATACATCTCAGATCTCTCAACCTCCTTGGGCAGAACTTTTAGTGAAGGAGTTTGATGGTCTATGAATTTGTCTGAATCCGATGTTCACTTTGATTGCCTTAACTCTAGCCTCTCTAACATGATCATCAAAGGTTTGAAGCCCCTCAGTACCGTCTTTGAACCAATTGATAACCAGCTTCCTCCGTACAGTCATGCCTGCTTTGAAAGTTTGTTGGTAGAAGGGGATTCATCAACTCTGTTTGGGTGTTTCGTAATTTGAGAAGAGTTCCATTGGAGCTACTTGCATATTTTTAGAGATATCCATACCATAGCATCTACATTACATGGAAACTACAATAGTATTCAGGGACCTGGAAAGCATATACTATTTTTTAATTTTCATTAATATTTTTTGTTATATAAGTAATGGATCAATTATCGAAATGAAAACAAATTACATCTAGAAGCATAGATAAATTCAAAAAAGGCCACAAAAATAAGATAGTTTGGAATTAATTATACTGATTTTTTAAGTTTTATGTCCAAATTTCACTTCAAGAGTTTCACATTCTTTAATCATCCATGACAGATTTGACAAAAAGAGGATCCCCTCTAGTGTCATGCTGGTGTCAGTCAATGTAACATAGCGTAGCATTTAGAATGAATGTCTCCTTCCAGTGGTCAGTCAATGTATTAGCCCTTGTTCTTGGTTTCCTTGTGCTATGGAAATGCTAAAACAAACCAATGGAGTCAAAGTGTGGGGAGTGGGAAAAACACATATCCATAATGAGATTAGTGACTCTTGACTGTCATTTCAGCTCAAGGAGCAAGATAGGAAATAAGGGCAGCTCCTCATGTGCACTCTTTTCTTTAACCTTTTCTTTAAGATGTACCGTGGGCACTTGCTCCTTGTATAGCTTTTATGTTCAAGTGGTTGAATAGTTCTGAGACCATCTATGGCTAGGAGCTGCTCTTGTTTCCTATCTTGTAAATTATTTTTCTATTGACTTGAAAAGAAAAAAATAAAAAAATAAAGGACCAGTATGCAACTATGCATGATATTCACATGAATGTTAATTCTTGAATGTCTTTGATGTGATGAAGTTCAACAATTTTTGCAATGACAGGCAAAAGTTTCATCTCTGATTCTTTTGCAGCTAAATAGGTTCACACTGACTTATTTGAGTCATGAAGAACCTTGTATACCCAATAATGAGCTTTTAGATTTTATCAGTAATTTGATGCATCTTATTTAAATATGCAGAGTTCTAGTGTTAACAATTGGGTGGATAATATTCCTTTCATCCTTCATTCCTGCACATTTCCTATTGAGAAGTCATGATAAGTGGAGGAAGAAGATAGAGGTATAACCATTTTTCTCTCTATATTGCTTTATGCAGTTTTTGAGTTATATCCTTTAACTACTCATAAATTTTTTTTATGTGCTTTTGGAAAAAAATGGTAATAATATTGGATGTTTTGTTGGATATACTGCTGTTGATATGCATTTGTTGCTCCATGACTTGAATTACAACCCATTGCTTTCAAATTGAGTCTGAGAGTGGCTGCTTTGCTTGTGCCAAAGGTTAGGTTGGTATCCAGTTCACTCTTCCCAAGATCCTGGATGACCAGGACCAACATTGGATAATGGCGCTTTTTGGTTTTTAAAAATTTAGGGCATGCTGTACAATACATATTATGTATTACTAAATGAGTAGTTTATTTTAATATTACTAAGACCCACATGCATCAGGTGTGGTCTAGTTTATTTTATTTTATTTCTAAGGAATAGTTCATCTTTTTAATCATCATTATTGTTCTTAATGTTATTTGGATTTTGTTTAGTTATGCATTTCATACATTTGGGTCATTCAATGTAAATTGTTTTCTCTTCAGAGATATCTGGTGGAGTTAATATGCAGCTTCTTTGTTGCATCATGGACTGGGGTTGTCAAATATCATGGGCCACGGCCAAGCATGCGACCCAAGCAGGTATTATTAGTTAGCAGCCTTGTTCTAGGCTTCTTGTAGCTTCTTGGTGTGAGTTGATGTTTCTCTAAGTGGCTACTTAATATTGTTAATTTGTATTACATATGCTTATGGATCTGAATTTCTGTTTTATGGCTTGAACAGGTTTTTGTGGCCAATCATACTTCCATGATAGATTTTATTGTTTTAGAACAGATGACTGCATTTGCTGTAATTATGCAGAAGCATCCTGGATGGGTTGGTAAGCGTCCAAGGCCAATTGTCTATCTGAGTTTCCCTAGATACCTGTAGATATTCTATTTATATGTATGCATTCATGTATCTATACTTTTTTTTTCCAGAAATTCTGTTTTGTTTGTACTGAATTTTCTTTTTCTTTTAGTTTTCTTTGCCACATGGTTCAGCCTTGGAGGGCTAGATTTTGTGCTTGAAGGTTGCCACCCACTAAGGGGAAAATAGAAAGAAAACAAAACATGCCAATGTTACTTATCAAAAAAAAAACATGCCAATGTTTTTGTGCAATGATACTTCCCAAGTCCAAAATTTCTGGGTTCTGCATTGTCATTTTGGAGCTCAAGTGTCAAATTTGATGACTTGTGAAATTGCAGGAGGATAGTGAATTTCCACTTCTGAAATCCATCAACCCAAAGACAGCCTTAATGTCAATCCTAGAATGAAAACAACAAGTTTGTAGAGCTGAAAGAAGTGAAATGGGTAACACAATACTTGGTGAATAATGCCCAGGTCAATACAATATATATTGCATATGTATACATAGGTAATTAGATGTGTATTAATATTGTATATATATGTCATTTAAAGAGTTTGTATTAAAATTGTTAGAAGGCAAAATAACCATGTTAAAAAGTACAGCTGATATGTATATTCTCAACTGTTGAAAAAGAAGTATACATTAAAAAGGGATGAAAAAAGATTTGGTCCAGTTCAGATTTGAAGTCTGCAAATTGAAATGTCTTAAACACCATAGTGGAACTCTAGAAGTATAACAAGCAATTAACATACATTAAAATATTAGAGAATATAGGGAAAGTCAATTAAAACTATCCAAGTAAGATCTGCATACTTAAAAACTTTATCTGTTGAATTATCAAAAAAAAAAAATATATCTGTTGCCAAAACAAATGAAATTTCTAAAATTTATACAGTTTCATTATAAATTTGTTAAAGTGTAAACCATTTCATATTTTTTGAAGTGTTAATGTTGTAAAGTATTATAATTTTATAAATGTTCATACAATATCTGGTACATGGTATCATGTTGTAATTATGCTAACCATGTGGAGGTATCCAGATGATTTCATGCATTTAATTGTTGGTTCTTTTGTATAGGGCTTTTGCAAAGCACTATTTTGGAGAGTGTAGGTTGTATCTGGTTCAATCGTGCAGAAGCAAAGGACCGTGAAATTGTAGCAAGAAAGTAAGAATTGTATTCTTGATATCATAAGCTTATTGGCTTGAGAATACTCTGGAACACAATATAATCCACCATCATCATCATGCTGTTCTTGTGTTTCATAGGTTAAGAGACCACATTCAAGGGGTTGACAACAATCCTCTTCTTATATTTCCAGAAGGAACATGTGTAAATAACCACTATACAGTCATGTTCAAGAAGGTTTGATTCATATTTCTCTGTAGAAACCCTTTGAAAAGGAAGTATTAAACTTTATTTTTAGATATTTCTTAATAATGTTACAGCAAGTTTCCTTTTTTTCTCATTACCATTTTGTTCTGCCTTTGGATGGTCATACTCTGATAGTAGTTATTCCTTCGAACAGAAGATTATTTTTGGTGATGTTGAAACAGAGGAATTTAGGTTACTAATTTTGGTGATAAATTATATTTGAGAAGTTTATTTTGGAAATTTTTTCTCTGTTTAAATTGTACTTGCTAGTTCATCTTTGACATACTCTTGTTTATTTATTTGGTCTGTTTAGGGTGCATTTGAACTTGGATGCACTGTTTGTCCAATAGCAATCAAGTACAATAAAATTTTTGTTGATGCCTTCTGGAATAGTAAGAAGTAAGAATCTCCTTCAGGTTACTAGTTCATACATGTACTGAACTGTAGCATGTATAGCATATAAAATCTTTTTGTTGTACTTCTAAAGAAATATTTTTGCAGTTTTGTGGAACTGACCAAGCAATCATGTCTCTCTTTAACTATAGTTTGTATCTTCTTGCACTATATATTTTGCAGGCAATCTTTTACCATGCACTTACTGCACCTTATGACTTCATGGGCTGTTGTTTGTGATGTTTGGTATTTGGAGCCGCAAAATATTAGACCTGGAGAGACACCCATAGAATTTGCAGAGAGGTTAGGTTATGCATCTTTTCTGCTCTTCAAAGACTAACATGACATTTAGATTTTTTTCTTAGTTAATAGTAAAAATTAAGCCTTCTGGCATGTTCTTATAACAATGATTTCTTTTTGTCTGAAATCATTGCTCTTGCTCTGCAGGGTACGAGACATAATTTCTGTTCGAGCAGGTCTTAAAAAGGTTCCATGGGATGGATATTTGAAATATTCTCGTCCTAGCCCCAAACACAGAGAAAGAAAGTATGTCAATCTCATCTTCTCTTCAAGTTTTAATGGAATCCAAATTACACCTTCACAATGTTCATAACTACTGCTTATGTGTTCACAACCATCTGGTTTCATACTCGTAACCCTTTATATCATATAGTTCATATGAGGAAGACCAATTTCCAAGTAGCTGCAACTTGCAAAATCCTAGAGTTAAATGTATTTGTGTATGAAATGAATTATAAGTGCAAAGGGAAGTGAGCTTTAGCATTCCTAGCTTAGCCGGTGTCAAGGAACAATTAAGTTGTTTATGCATTATAAGACACATTGGCAGGCTTTTCACAGACATGACAGAATCCCATATAAGTAGTTCAGAGAGGTTGAGATGGTATTCTCTGAACAAGATGGTGTAACATGTCCTTGAACATTTAGAGAAGATACAGTCTATTCTGGTAACATAATTTTGTGCACCTGGTGACCAAAAATTTTGACTGGGCTTTCTGTTATTGTTCATGGGTGTATTCATTACTTTTTTTTTGAAGGGTAAAGAAAATCATTAAAATAAAAAGAGAATACAAAGGGAAAGGTGACAAGAAATCACCCGAGAGAAAAGACAAACACTAAAGCAGATGCACCCAAAGACACCGACGTACAAAAACATTCAATACGAAGAGAAAACTCCAAAATGACCACCTGCACCCTCCTACTCGAATGGACCTGAAACAGAACCCAAATGCCTAGACTTCCTAATCCTCTTAAAAAGAGGAAAGCACCCCTTTAGACTAGAGAAGGTTTGGACTCTACATAAAGATTTCAAATCTAATGTGGCCTCTTGGTGGGAGGAGTGTGAGGTGGACGGTTGGACTGGGTTTTGTTTTCTTCAGAAGTTAAAGTACCTAAAGAGAGTTAAAATCATGGGGAAAGGAAGAGTTCAAAGCATCTGCTGAAGAAAAAAATAAGTTAATTCAGGAATTGGATGAGTTAGACTGCAAGGAACAAGATGGGAATTTAGATGGCCAAGGGAGAAGAAGGGAGGAATTAAGGAAAGAGTGGGAAAAGGTAGTTAGGAGGGAAGAAGTATACTGGAGGCAAAGATCTAGAGTAAAATGGTTGAAGGAGGGGGATAAAAATTCAAGATTTTTTCAAAGCTATGCCATAGGAAGATGAAGAAAAAGTTACATCTCAAAACTGAAGGTGGCACAAAGAGAAGTGGAGGAACAAGAGGAGATAGTGGAGCAGTTTCTGAATTATTTTTAAGGAGCTGTACACAAAGAGTAACAACAGATCCTTTTACTTGTCTAACTGGGAAGGAAGCTGTTTGTCGGAGGGACAACAAGCTTGGCTAGAAAGGGAGTTTGAAGAACAGGAAGTTAAGGAAGCAGTTTTTGGTATGGATGGAGACAAATCTCCTGGCCCAGATGGTTTTCCTTTGTTCTTCTACCAATTGTGTTGGGATATAATCAAATCGGACTTAATGGAAGTGTTCAAGGATTTCTTCAATTCGGCCATCATAAACAAAGGTAACAATTCAACATTCATCACCTTAATCCCAAAAAAAGAAGGCGTTTTGGAAGTAAAGGACTTTAGGCCAATAAGTTTGGTGGGCAGTATTTATAAAATTGTGGCTAAAGTGCTGGCAGACAGACTAAAGGAAGTGCTTAGAGATCTAATCTCCAATAGTCAATATGCTTTTGTAAAAGGAAGGCAGATCATTGATAGTGTTTTAGTGGCCGATGAATGTGTTGAAGACAGAAGACAAACAGGCAAGTCTGGAGTGGTTATAAAACTCGATTTGGAGAAAGCATATGACAAAGTTGTCTGGGACTGTGTACTAAATATGTTGGAGTTAGAGGTTTTGGAAGAAGATGGGTGGTGTATTGGATATAAGGATGCCTCAATTCTGCTCGGTTCTCAGTGTTGATAAATGAAGAAACAAAAGGCTATTTTCAGGCAAGTTGGGGCCTTAGGCAAGGCTGCCCCCTTTCTCCATTCTGTTTACTCTGGTTGTAGACATTCTCAGTCACTTCATTGAGAAAGCAAAAAGCCTAAACCTGTTGAAAGGATTTAAAGTTGGAAGACTCAATTCACTTGTCCCATTTGATTTTTGCTGATGACATCATTGTTTTTTTGGAGGCTGATCTGGATTCTATCATCAACTTGGAAAAGGTCCTTGTGTGTTTCGAGAAAGTTACAGGTCTCCAAGTAAAATTTTCCAAGAGCAGCATTGTGGGGATAAACATAAGTGAAAGTTTGGTAAGCAGCTTATTTATATAAAAAAAAGTTTGGTAAACAGCTTCAAGGCGATCCTAGGTTGTAAAGTGGAGATTTTTTCGATCTCATACTTGGGGTTGCCTCTCGGAGGAAATCCAAGAAGCCAAAGCTTCTGGGAACCAGTAGTGGAAAAGTGTGAAAAAAGACTGGCAACTTGGAAGAAAAGCCATCTTTCAAAAGGAGGAAGACTCACTTTAATAAAGGCTTCCCTGGCTAACCTACCTAATTACTATCTCTCAGTGTTCCAAATCCCGGCCAAGATCAGAAATAAAATTGAAAAGCTGCAGCGTGACTTCTTGTGGGATGGGGGTGGAGAGAAAAAAAACCACTTGGTCAGTTGGGACTTGGTCTGTAGACCAAAGGAAGCTGGAGGACTTGGAATAGGAAGGATCAAGGAAAAAAATGTAGCATTTCTGGGGAAGTGGCTGTGGCGGTTTCCTCTAGAATCAAACGCCCTTTGGACCTCGGTCATAATCAGCAAATACGGAAAGAATGTCAACGGTTGGGACAGCAAGGTCACCTTGAATCAAACAAAAGCCTCTAACCCTTGGAAAGGTATTTGCTCCATTTATGATATCTTTATTTCCTTTATTAGATATAAAGTAGGGGATGGGGCCAAAATCACATTCTGGACTGAAACACTCTAGCCAACAGATTTCCTCGTCTTTTCAATCTCTCCCAAAACAGAGAAGCTACTTTAGCCTCCTGTATTTTAGACTCAACCCCTGCTTCAAACTGGAACCTAAACCTAAGAAGACACTTAAGGGATGTGGAGATTGAGGATCTTGCTGAACTCCTACATGCCTTCAGAGAAGTCTATGTTTCCCCTTCAAACCAAGACCAACGAATCTGGAAGCTCCATCCAGCTGGTAAGTTCACAACTAATTCCTTTTTCAGAGCCTTGGTATCAGGTGATACAAACAATGGGTTCCCTTGGTATGTTTGCTCGGGGAAAATACACACCTGTGATCTTTTACAGAAAAAGCTCACCCTTCCCAAGACCTCAGATAGCTGGGACCGACATTTGGAAATGGTCCTTCATATATTAAACTGTCCCCCTAACTTTCAACATGACTTGTGTTGGTGTACAAACCATCTCCACATTTCTTTGGATAAGTAAAAATTTGAAACATCTAATGAAACGTATAATGTTCTTGTTGGAGATTAGGAAAATTACAAGCAATCTAGTGCTGGTCACCCTTTGACAGTTCACCTATCTGCCAGAAGGATGTTTAGAGCATTTCTTGAGTTGCCCTTCGTAGTTGGTCTTGTCAATGCCACATTTCCTCCATCTAAACATTCTGTCCACTGAGCTTTTTGATTATAAGTTTTAAGTAGGCTATGTATGGGGTCAAGACGTCAAGCATGCTTAAAAGGTGGTTGATGCCACAGAAGTGATATGCAGAATATTTTGCCAATTTTGGTTTATTAATTGTATTAAAACTATCAAATGACAGATTTAGGTGATTAGGTCTATATGTATTATGTAGTACGCCATAATTATTCTTTTCTTGTGTACAATAGGGACTTTATTATCATGACAAATAAGCTCAGAATTTAGAATTTTGTTTCTTGACATCCTCTCTCTAAAACAGGAAAAATACTGGAAATGCATTGAGTTCATCTTTCTGGTTACAACTTCATTAAACTTCTTTTATTTTTCATAATTTCTAAGTTTTTTAAATCTTTTTTTTTTCTTTTTTATTATCTTCCTGACTTCCCCTCTTTTTTTTCATCACAACTTTTGCTTCAGATCCTTTGCTGAATGTTATTTATGAGTTTATTAGTGTGGCTAATCCTTCTATGCTATTTCTGTCTGAGCAGGCAATTGATTTATTTTTTTAGTATAAAATAACAATTGTTCATTTCTGGTTTTACATTTTTAGGCAACAAAGGTTTGTAGAGTCGGTATTGCAGCGCTTGGAGAAAAAGGGAAAATGAAAGACATCTCGCAGCAATTAAAAAAAAAAAAACTCCACGATTATTTTTTTCTTATTGTCCTTAAATAGTTTTTCGGAATTTCAGATGTTCATTTCATTCTTCGGAAGACTTAATTGATATTCTTGTATAATTTAGGTGTACATTGAAGTTAGGATTCACAGAATTTATTATTATTATTTTTTATGACAGGCAAGGATTCAGAATTATTATGCCGTGTGGAAATTAAACGGTGATTCTCCCATTAAGAATCCCTTGTTTCCTATTTTTTACACTTTTAAAAAAGAACAGGATGCTTGAGGGTAACGGGAGTTTTGGCAAGATAACTACTGGCTTATTAAGGTGGTGTTTGGGACTGATGATGATTTCCTCGGAAAACGATGACACATAAGTGCCACAGTCCACATTGGTGTTTCATGGTTTGAAGCCATGTTCTTTGTTTGATACATTGGTGTTTCATGGTTTGAAGCCATGTTCTTTGTTTGATNACATTGGTGTTTCATGGTTTGAAGCCATGTTCTTTGTTTGATACATTGGTGTTTCATGGTTTGAAGCCATGTTCTTTGTTTGATTGTGTATTTTTCAAAAAACGCTGAAAAAACGATCATGCCTAAAAAACCAGGTACTCAGGTAGGCATGGTCTGGAAAAATGTCAGAAGGGGTGTTTCTCCGTTTTTCATTGTTGCTAGTAATGGTTATCTGATGAGGTGATGAAAATGCTCAAGTGGTAGAAACGGAACCCAACAAAGAACATTGCTGTTTTCTTGCATCACCGTTTTCTTAGAAAACGGCAATGTAACTAAACACATCCTAAAAATAAGAAAAAGAAATAAGATTCAAGAATGAGAAGCTCGAAGAAATTGAATCTACTAGAGAAACTATATTCGAAGTGTTGAAAAAAACCAGAAAAAGCAAAAGGAAAAAGATGTAGTGTTTAGGAACACTTAAACATTTTCAGTTGAGTGGGACATGTGTCACACATCTCATCAAGAATTTTAAATGCCAAAATGCAAAGAAAGAAGAAAAATTTTAGGTCGTCCACGTAGGTGGTGGACGAACTGTTCAAATCATCACCTAGTCACGATTTTAGCTCTGGTTTTCATAAAACCTATAAAATTTTCAAAAACTGTTGATTTGGTCAAAGATCATTTGACTGTAGTGGTTGGACTGTTGATCTGTCTGATGTGGTCATTGGGTCAAGGATTAGCCAATAAGATGTATTCAAACTTTTGGAAACCAAACTTTGTGCTTGGTTGTTTGATTGAACTTTATATGGATTTAGAGTAATTTTTAGAGATTTGCATGTTAAGGAGACAAGGCACCTTTGCTATTTTAGCAAAAAAGGGGTAATTTTGTTCAGTCACCCTCAAAAGTCCTAATACATTGGTATAATTTGGGCCAATGTGAATGGGAAGGATTCCCACTATTTCCCACTTCATGGGGAATGGCGTGTGTATAGGAGGGTGTGGGTAAATACATTTGTGAGATCAATAAAAAAAAATCTCAGGGGAACAGAACTTTAAATAAGCCAAAAATAATAAAACTTATTTGGCCTCAACATCCAATTTTTTAGTATTTTTTATAAATAAAAACTTTAAAATTAAGGCTTTTTGTCCTATACAAGGTTTTAAAAGTTACAAAATTGTCCATACAACTTATTAGACATCTTTCAATAATATTAAATTTGTCCATGTAGACTTTATTAGACCTAACGTTTTTAGAGCAACACTACAACTCTTTTCAGAATGAGAATTCTCTTTTCTCATAAAAAAAATAGTTAAAAGCTCTTTTTAAAAAATTAATACATAAATTCAGCATTACCCGTTCAAAAGTGAAAGTTAAGTGGAAACATCAGAATTGAATAAATCACGCGCTAAAAATCTCTCTTTTATTTCTTAAAATCTTCCATATTATTAACTTATTATTAATTGAAATGCCACTTTTTAACTTTTTTCTAATCAATAGATTGCAATTTGCATTGCATAATTTTTTTTGAAAACGCCTCAAGGCAAAAAAGGAATTCTGCAAATGACAAATGATGAGTAAAGAATCACAAAAGCAACCCTGACGCTCCCTTGGCTACTACTAATTATTATTATTATTAGTGGTTAACACCAAAGAAGAGGGTTAAGGGTAAAATAATTATGGTAAACATGAATTTATGTATGTGGGGTTTCCAGGATCAAATGGCACGGGAAGAGGCCATTGATCAGGATGCCCACATTTCCTTGTTGCGTCCAAGCCATTATACCAGGAGGAACCTTTTACCCCCTCCCAGAATTGGTAATGGACGCGTTTCCCTTTCTCACACATCTTCTATCAAAAGTTTGGAAGAAGTCGACTATGAAACCCAGCAAATAGTTCAAATGTAATTCGGAATGATTGTTCGCTCCTGCAAAATCATCTAAACATTGTGATTGCTTTCGATTAAGATTTTCTTCTTTTTTTTTAAGAATAAGAGAGAGAGAACACGAGAAAGGGTGCTCAGACAGCCAAGGGTTTGTCTTCAACTTCTGAGTTGAACCCCAGATCAGAAACTCTAGTCCACAATAGCTTCATCACAGCACATATTTTCATCAAGAAAGAAAAGAATAAAACGATACGATCGTGAAAAGAAAAGATTGCATCAAAAACAAATGCCAATTGATAAAACAAAGATAATTGATCAAACTAAAGGCGAAAATGAACTCGACACATAGAGGAATACAAGAGAAGAATAAAAACGAGTGAAATATAAAATTGACAGAATCAGATGAAGAGACGAAGTGAAGCACATAAACCGTGTATTTATAGACTTCTCCGCTAAAAATTGAAAGTAGGGTTAGGGTTTTGCGACAATCTCTATTCTCTACGAGAAGCCAATCTATGGCAGATACGTGTGACACGTAATTCTATCTGATACCATGAGGAGTAATGTTAGCATCACGGGCTGTGTGATTCACGGAGCCTGTAGATAACAAGATAACGGTTGTCGTTGATTTTGTGCATGTAAAAAGGGGTCACGTGAATTGTGAGTTGCATTGCATTCTAAGGCAATATTAGGGTTGGACCCTAGGGCCTCTGAGGTCAACCTCGGTCTAGTCTAAGGCCCAAACCCAAACTTCAGAATCAGATTGGGCCTCACCTCACACCATAACCAAATTCAGTTGGAGACACCCCAGCCTGGGCTGAGGATGAGCTGATCCGAACCTAATTGACCTCCGGCCAACCTTGGCTCATATCCGATCGTAGTTCTCAATGAACCGGTTTTGGATTTGATCCTGTTCAGTCAAAATTCAATTTGAACGGATTGGACGGACCAACAAGACATTGGATTGGACCAATTTGGTCCAAAATATTTATTAGATTGGATTGGATCTGGTCTGTCCGTTACAAATTTATATTGGATTGGGTTGGATTAAGCCAATATCTAATCCATTGATTTAAAATAAGAATATACGTGTCAATGGACCAGATTTAGATTGAAATCAATCTAAATTAAAATGAATTTGAACAAATTGGATGGTCCAAACATTAAATTGGACCGGTCCAAATTAATCCAAAACATTCATTGGATTGGATTGGACCTGGTCCATTTATAATAGACTCACATTGGACTGGATCGGATTGGACCAAATCCAGTCCAATTGACACCCCTAGGTGGGATGGGCAAGCCCGACCCAATACTCAAACCTAGGCAATATTGTTAGTTTGTTACTTCTGTTGAAATCAATATGGCCGAACCCAAACAATTGGACCAGGCATTCACGATATAAATACAAATTATGAAAATTAATAAAATTCTTTTGTAATAATAATAATAACTAGTGGAGGGCCCCTAAGGCTGGAATGGAATTGCAACATTGTTATTTGCTATATTAAAAAAAGCAATGGTTCCTTAATAAGAAACTTGCAATTATAAGTACTAAGTCTTGAAACCCATATAAAAACTTAAAAGAGATCATCATGTGCTTGTTTTTTAAATATTTTTTCAATAAAGCATCTCATATAAAAAGAATACGATTATATAGTGATTGTTTTGAGTTTTACTTCATAACTGTCATTTGTTTCACATTGAGAACTCCCAGTTGACCCGGGAAGTAGTACCGTTTGGCCCAAGAAACATCTAGGCAACCGGTTCCGTTTTACCCCAAACCTAGTCCCTGGCAAAAAATCGTTGAATCAGTCAACGACCCATCGACCTGTTCAATAGTTTTTGGCCATTTTTTTGTTTTTAATTATTTTTTAATTTTTGTTGTCAAAATGGGCCATCTGTTCGAATTGGATAGTTGAACCGTCAACCTAGAAACCGATGGCCAGAACAGTTCCGTTTCCGGATCGTTTTTTCTAGATGTCATTAATTAGACGAAATAACTTTGTAGCCATAGTCATGGGAAGGGTGGACATTGCAAAGGATTCCAAAACCTTGAAAGATAAATCCAAAATGACCTTAAACACACAAAAAATGGCAATAAATCCACCAAATTGAAAAAAAAAATAGAAAATCAAGTCAAAAGTTTTGAAGAAGAATATCAAATACAAAAAAAAACAAAAATAGAAAATGAAAAAAAAATACCCCACATGCTTGAATAAAGCCAATAGTAGAAGAAACCTTTGAATAGTGAAAATCCAAAAGCATAAAAAACCATGTTTTTCGAACTACCGTTGACTCGGATGGACAAACATTTCGGCTTGGGAACCGTCCAGGCAATCAGTTTTGTTTTACCCCAACCCCGGTCCTTGGACAAAAACGTTGAATCGATCAACGATCCATTGACCCGGGTAGTTGAACTGTCGACCTGTTCAATGGTTTTGACCATTTTTTTATTTTTTAATTGGGAACCGTCCAGGCAACCAAATCTGTTTTATCCCAATCCCACTCCATGGCTAAAAACCATTGAATCGGTCAACGACCCATTGACTCGGGTGGTTGAACCGTCAACCCGTTGACTCGTTCAATGGCTTTTGGCCGTTTTCTTTTTTAATTTTTGTTGTCAGAATGAGCCATCTGTTTGAACCGGATGGTTAAACTGTCGACCCAAAAATCAGTGGCCAGAACAATTCCATTTTCGGGTCGTATACGTCACACGCTTGAGTGAAATAACACATATGATACTGCTTAATGGACCTCACACACTCAATTTTTTGCTTGTAATTTTTGTTGTCACAACAGGTCATTCGTTCAAACTGTTGTCTTTTATTTTTTTAATTGGGAATCGTCCAGGCAACCGGTTCCATTTTATCCCAATCCTGGTCCCTCGCCAAAAACCGTTGAGTCGGTCAATGACCCATTGGACCAAGCAGTCGAATCGTCAATCTGTTTGAATCAGACGGTCGAATCGTCGACCCTGTCGACCCTAAAAACCAATGGCTAGAACGGTTTCGTTTTTTGGTTGTATGAGTCACGTACTCGAATGACATAACATATATGATATTGCTTAATGGACCTCACACATTCAATTTTTACCATGTAATCTTTGTTGTCAGAACGGGTTGTCCGTTCAAACTTGATGGTCGAACCATTGACCCGAAAACCACTGGCGAGAACGGTACCGTAATTTTTGTTTTCAGAATGGGCCATTCGTTCAAACCGGACGGTCGGACCGTCAACCCGAAACCGATGGCATATATATATGTTAGATTCTTATTATATATATATTAAAGGGTTTCCATTTGGTGAAAGGGGAGACCACCCCTATCCCTTTAATAGATAACTAGCAGAGGGTTCCTGCTTCGTAGGGGTTGGACATTTCGACTTGGGAACAGTCTAGGCAATCGGTTCCGTTTTATCCCAATCCCGGTTTCTGGCCAAAAATTGTTGAATCGGTCAATGACTAATTGATCCAAGTAGTCGAATCGTCAACCCATTGACTCGTTCAATGTTTTTTGGCTGTTTTTTATTTTTTAATTAGAACCATCCAAGCAACCGGTTCCGTTTTATCCCAATCTCGGTCTTTGGCCAAAAACTGTTGAATTGGTCAACGACCCATTGACTTGGGTGGTCAAACCGTCAACCCGTAGACCCATTCAATGGTTTTGGCCATTTTATATATATATATATATATATATTAATTTTTGTTGTCAGAATGGGCCATAAACCGATGGCTAGAACAATTATGTTTTCAGGTCGTATAAGTCACATGCTCGATTGACATAACACATGATACTGCTTAATGGACCTCATACACTAAATTTTTTGCTGGTAATTTTGTTGTCAGAACGGGTCATCCATTTGAACTGGACGATTGAACCATTATTTTTTCATTTTTTTAATTGGGAACTGTCTAGGCAACCAGTTCCATTTTACCCCAATCTTGGTCCCTGGCAAAATACTGTTGAATCAGTCAACGACCCATTGACCTGATCAGTCGAACCGTTGACTCGTTCAAGGGTTTTTGGCCGTTTTTTTTTTTAAACTTTTGTTGTTAGAATGGGCCATCCATTTAAATTGGACATCAAACTATCCATTCAAACCGGACGGTTGAACTGTTATTTTTTCATTTTTTTAATTGGGAACCGTATAGGCAACCGGTTCTGTTTTATCCCAATCCCGATCCCTGGCCAAAAACTATTGAATCGGTCAATGATCCATTGACTCGAGCGGTCGAACTGTTGACCCATTCAAGGGTTTTTGGCTGTTTTTTTTAAAAAATTTTTGTTGTCAGAACAGGTCGTCCATTTAAATCGTTGAACTGTTAACCTGAAACTAGTGGCCAGAACGATTTTGTTTTTGGGTCGTATAAGTTACACGCTCAAATGACATAACACGTATGATACTGCTTAATGGACCTTACACACTCAATTTTTATTGTCAAAACGAGCCATCCGTTCAAATCGGAGGGTCATTGTCAAAATGGGTCATCCGTTCAAATCGAAGGGTCAAACCGTCGACCTAAAAACCAGTAGCCAAAACGGTTTTGTAATTTTTTGATAATTAATCATAATTTACCTAAAAAATTATATTTAAGACTAATTTTAATAATCATTTTTTGATCAATTTATTGATTTCTTAAAAATTGGCCGATTAAACACCAAAACACTAAAATAATCAACTATACACACAAAGTAACACGTGGCGAAAGGGGGAGAACACCCCTTTCGTATTAAATATATATATATATATATATAAGATAATAATAATAATAATAATAAATGTTATAATTTTTATTTTTTATATGTGACAACAACGGAAACGAAAAAGGAAACAAGAAATTGAAAAAAAAAAGAACAAACAAATGCTACTAACACAGAATGAGAAGCAAAACGACGAGAGCCAACATTGCAGCGGGCGTATGATAGCAACCGAATTCTGCCCCGCTGGATTTGAGCTCTATGTCTTTGTTGTCTGCTGTCATCCCTTCCCGGTTGACATGGACATCCCCGCCGACACTCATCCGGTGCCGCTTGGTCTTCCACCAAATGGTCTTAAACCTCACCGCCGTCGCCAAATCCACCTGGAAAACCACCGTCCTGTTGTTGGAGACCTCCTTCAGAGCGGTTTGCAAGGGAAATCTACGGGCCTCCATGGTTTGCGCCTTTATAGCCTTCTTCTTATGCCCTTGATAGAAGGGAGGTATGGAAGTGTTTCCAAGAGCAATGGTTCGATTTATGCCGCCGTAGTAAAGGGCGATGTTGACCTCGTCGTAGTAGATCCCCTTGTCCTTATTGCCGTTGGCGAGCTTGAGGTTGAAGGCTATGGTGGCGTTTCTGGTGTCATGAGCAGTTAGATTGAGGGGCGGGACCTGAAAGTTTTGGATGAAGTAGTTGGGATGGTCGATGTGTAAGTTGAGCCACAGGAAGACAGTGGTGAGGCCGGCGGAGAAAATGAAGCTAATGCAACACCGACAACATCGAGGGGATTCCGGCATGTCTCCGGCGAAATTTCTACTGGTTTGTTGCAGACGGGATGATGAACTGATCAGGCTAGAAAGTAGAAACAACAAATGATTGATTGTATTCTCCAGTTATTCTTAACTTGCAATTTTAATTAAAAAAAGTTGGGACTTGGCCATTTGGGAGCGGATATTTGATGACGTCTTCACTTGCATTTGTCAGCTTTTCTTTTTTCTTTTGGCTTGGGAATGACGAATTTGTCCTCTATAATGTAATAATTTTTTGTGTTCGTTATACTAAACTCATGAATAAATGATTCATGAATATTCATTCCAGTGGTCACAGGAGTAATACCAAGATCAATGCTTATAAAATTATTAGAATTAAATGGCACTTCGCCTTACAATCACCAACAAGAAACGGGTAAGAAATTCAAATATTCCATGCCGATATTTGATGATAAATTCCCAGGAATTTCTCACCAGTTTCTTCTCACCACGACACTTTTTGTGAAACGTGTTGGATACAAGTATAAGAACATGGTTATGTCATTGACAAGAGTCCTCTGGAAGCGTCATTTTTTAGGTTGACGGTGGTCCGTGTACTGGCTTAGTATCGTGGTTGACTTAGGAATCGTTAAGGCAATTGGTTCTATTTCATCCCAAAACTATTATTGGGCCAAAAATAAACGGTTGATTTGGTCAACGATCTGCTGACCCAATTGTCGATTTATCAATTTGAAGAGTGGTTTTTGATATTTTTTATTTTAATTATTTATTTTCAAATTAGAATGGGTTATTCATTTGAATTGAACAGTCGGACTATTACCATTTGACCTAGGAATCAGTGGCCAAAATGGTTCAGTTTTTATACCTTGTTTAGCATTATTCATAAATGTACATTTTATATCTTTTTTTTTTCTTTTTACTTGTAAATTTATACCGTTTAATGAACCCTTTTGGTTTTTGAGGTGGTAATCCTTTATCTATGAAACATACAAGAGAAGGTGTATAAACAAGGTTTCAAATTCTGACATAATATGCCTAATACAATGTGTATCTGTTCGGGTGATGGTTGAGTTGGTCAAGGGTGTCACGTGGCTATCTATGCAGTCACCCCCTTCTCAAGCCACGTTAGTGCTACATGTAAAAGAAGAGTGCAACTAAGGAGAGGTATCCTACACGGACAAGGTAGCGAACTCCGCTAGGGAAGAGGAAGTCTCCTAAAGACCTCAATGGACGCCTTCATCTCAACAACCCCGGGAACCTTACCCATCTAGGACACGACACCCAACTATAAATAGGTATTCCCTGCTTGAGGTAAGGGACCCTTTTTCGGAATTGCACTTTTTGAACACCTCTTTGCACTCTCTTCGGCCCGGACCAACACTATTTCAACATGCTCGGCCTGGCTACATCCTTCTTGATCCTACTGAATTGAGCGTTGGAGTATCTACTCGGGGAACAACTCCTCAGGACTTTGACCTTTCTCTTGGTTGCAGGTCTCGGTGCACGACTTCGTCCATCCACCTCGACCTCGTCGAGTTGGTAGGACTATTTGATTGTTTCCTCTGTTCAAAACACATCGGATCAGACAACATCAGATTGACATCGTATGTGGAAAACGCACAAAAAGTCATTTCCCAAACCCTTTCTGTGCACTAAAAGAAACCATGCCTAAGAACAGATCCAACTGCTTCGGAACTCATTCCCCATCTCAGGGATCCCACTCACTTCATAGCTCCCCACCTCGGGAGCCCCAACATCAGGCAGCAGTTGACTACGCATAGTTCCTAGCCATGCAACAGAAGATCGACCATATCCTAGCCATGATGGAAACATTGAGGAAACTGACCCATGCCTCCCTAAGTTACTCGCCCTGCTACTCAAGTGCCTACTATAGTCGGTCCTTGCACCGATGACCCCAAAAGGTGCCATGCAAACAAGCATAGGGCCCAATATGACCACGAGCGACTACATTCGTCCAGAAGATCTAACTCCCCAGCCTGGCCTTGTGAATGGTGCTTGGAGTAGATCCCATCATTCCACTCGAATGCCAACAAAAGAAAGACTCAACCAATGTCTACAACAGCCACCGATCTTGATAGCAGAATCCAACTTGATCAGAGACTAGCTTCCGATCTCGAAGGGAAAGAGTCCGTAATGTGGTCCCAACCAATAGAGATGCTGAGATCAGAGAACTAAGAGAGCGATTTCCTGATAAATGGATTTGCCCAAATAAATCATTTACCAAAATGAGAACGAACCCAGATTTCCTACTCAACATTCTCTAACCACAGCCTACCGCCTTGAATTGCAGCCACACATCGCCATCTTGTATTTTGAGATGTGCGGCTATTGTGTAATGTGCATAGAGGAAAGTGGGCAGGAAATCCATTTTTGAGTTTGGATCGTCTGTCCCCTAGGGATAGAAATTTTTCTGTCCCGTCCAATACATTTCGAACACGTCATCTTCACCCACTCAATTTGAAACTAACAGAAAATGGATGCTAACGATAGTGTGGACTTCATTCTTTATCAAATTTGTTTAACCCTTCGGACCTCCTCCCTTTTCATTCCATTGTTACCAAATCCTACCGTGAGAGTTCTCTTCTTCTTCCTCCCCTCTCCACCCATCGCCCCTTCACCACCGCCGAGAGTTCTTTTCATTCCATTTGAGCCGTTATAAGTCTTTCTCTCTCTCTTCTTCTCTCTCCCCACCGACACGCTGCGTTGTAACACGAATTGCAACCCTCTCTTGCCACAGCAACCCTCTCAGGTGCTGTACTCTGGCCACTTCAGGAACCCTCCTCGCCGCTGCAACCCTTGCCGGTGCTGTATTCCGGCCAGCTCCGTAACCCTGCCTCACCCCTGCAACTATCATGGTTCTTATTTCACCCCTACAACAGTCTGAAGTGTAATATTGTAAATATGAGATTTTAAATGGTGATTAGAAATTAGTAAACACCGCACCAATCTTTTTAATCAAACATTGCCAATGTTATTTAATTCTACTATAATGATGTGAAGCTGACCAACAATAATTTAATGGATTTCGGGCTTCCAATTCAATTTGTTCCATCTTTGATGAAATTTTTGAATCCATAGAGCATAAATAGATCAAGAACAAGGATGACGAGCACAGATGATATAGCTGAATTTTACATTGATTTTGTGAAAATATACTTGTTCAATTCCCAAATGCATTCACTGAAACGAAAAGGTATATAGTATATACAGAGTTGAGCAAAAGAAAAGCCTATATTATTTATTTACTTTATTTAGGCCTAATCTCTTTTCCTTGGATAATAAGACCAGACATCCAGTGACCACCCTTCACCTCCATGATAGTCATATCCACTTCCCCATCTTCTCCTATGTCGTTAAGTAACTCATCCATCTCTATTTCCACCCATCCATCTTCTCCTCCTAGGGTAATGTGTCTCTTGTTGACCCAGTAACATGGATGACAACAATATGGCAAGGTGAACCTACGGCTATGTACATGGTTGAAAATCACTCCAGTATACAGCTGGTGAGGAAATTAGGGATCCAGATACAAACTTTGGATATCTCCACCTTGGAAAACCTTACAGGCACTTTGTTTGGAGAAAGTTGAGGCCTTTTCTGCTCTTCGCCAATTTGAATACAAGATGTGCTTCGTAAACTGTTTTCGGGGACAACAATCTTGTCTCTGTCTTGCCAATTGCCATGGATTTCGAGCTAGCAACCGTCTAAGGGATCAGCCACATCTGAGAACCTGAAAATTTGAAATTCAGAGGGAGAGAGAGAAAGAAAGAGAGTTGAGTAGTTTAACATGATCTCCAACAGTTGGTAGCAACAGTCTCTGGCGGTCAGTGGCATTGGTGGAACCAGATGTGAGAGAGGAGGAGAAAAAGAAGAGGGAGAAAGACGAGTTCAAGATAGAGGAAGTAGGAAGGAATGAAAGACGAGTTTCATCACTTTTTAGAGTCTAGACTGCTGTTAATTCTCCGTTTGGTTTGTGGGATGGGGATGAGAAAAAAAGGAATATTCTAAAAATATTTTTTTTTCTCTCATTTGTTTTGAGGGAAATGGAGGGATGGGATGTGGGATCCCAAAATCGTGGAATCAGGATCACACCAAAACAGTGCGACCCTAGTGAAAAAATTTGAGAAAACTCAAGAGTGGCAATGAATCAGCAGTGACAACGGCAACGAACCAGTGGCGACAACAACAACAAACCAACGACGGTCCCTTCCCTCTGTCTCTCTCTCTCTCTTCCTCTCTTTCTCTCTTATGCTCTTTCTCTCTTCTTCTCCTTCATTTTCGTTTTTGGGCTCCCCTGTTACCATCGAACCAAATAGTTCATTGCACGGGGCAGAGGAACGACAAAAATCCGTAAAACAAATCTCCCTTTCTTCGAACAGGGGTGGTAGAGGAATGACGATCTCCTCTCCCGATCTATTCTCCTTTCCTCTCTCTCTCTCTCTCTCTCTCCCTCCATCTTCCTCTTCTCTCTTCTCACTCACCTTTTTCTTCTTCCTATTCTTCCCGTCTTCCTCCCCATTTCATTTCTTTCTTTCTTTGATCGCCGTTGCAACTCTTGGCTGCGGCGATGCACTCCTATCCTGATATGCTCTCCTGATCTCCTTTCTCCTCTCCCGATCTCCTCGCCTGATCTGCTTTCTCACTAGTGGCGATTCGACGAATAACTAGGTTGTGGTGGTAGTTTTCCTACTATTTTCCCATATGTAAAACCAAACAATGTAAAGTTCAATTTTTACATCTTCCCATCCCATCCCACCCAAATCTTCCCACAAACCAAATGGAGCCTAAATGTTTGGACTTTGGTAATTTCAAATATAGAAAGATCTATGACGTGTTCAAAATGTATTGGATGGGGCAAAAAATTTTCTGTCCCTAGGGGACAGATGATTCGAACTCGTCCGATGCAAGTACTAAAGAAATTATCTCATGGAAAAAATACTAAAGTAATTAGAGAGAAAAAAGCAAAAAACTAAGTCATTTTATTTGGTTATACATGTCTTGCCACATTGTATAATGTGATCACTAATGAGACCCATTGTTTTCAACCCACCATTTAGTCAGTCGGTTAAACTGTTAAAACTATCACCCAGCTATGATTTTGGGTCCCATTCTGTTGAAGCCCATTGTTCAGTCAAAAAACATTGACATGGTAAAAAACCGTTTGACCCAAGTGGTTCAACAGTTGACTTGTTCTACCTTGTCATTGGGTTGCAGGTTACACACAATGTATGTGCATACTTTCAGAGACCAAAATTTTGCACTCCAATGTCTAATTGGGGTGTTTTTTTTTTTTATTTTGAGTAATTTTTCAAGATCTATGCATCCCAAGACACCATTGCCCCGCTATTTTTGCAAAAAAAACCCCTTTTTTTGTCCTTAAATCATAATTTTTAATATTTTTATAAATAAAAAATATAAAACTGAATTAAAAAATATAAATTAAATATAAAATAATGCATGTATTATATATAAAACACAATTATACATTATTTATTAATAAAATATCTCCGGGTCGATTTTTAAAATATGCCAAGTCGTCTTGGTCGTCAATTGTGCAGTTCTTCTGATTTTGTATCTCATGCTCTAAACTTGGGTAGTCAGAACTCCATACTCCAGTTTTTTTATTTGGATGAATGTAATTGCCTTCTAGTTAGCGGGAGACCCGGTAGTTCCTTTCTCAATTCTTGAGAGTAAAAGTTTAACTCTCACCTTAGCATGCTTTAGGTATTCCATTGATAGAATTCAACAGGTTAGATTTGAGTTTGAGGTATGTGCATGTATATTTCCTACTTTTTGAGTAAGGTATTTAGATATGTTTCCAAGTTTGAGTGAGTAGGGGAGGCCATGAGCTGAACTCTTTACGAGTTATTCGAGTTTGACTCGTGAAAAGTTTGATTCAGTTCGGTTTTAATCGAGTTTCGAGCTGAGCTTGAATCCGATTTATAAGTTCGATTAATAAACAAGCCGAGCTCGAATATATCTATATATATAATTATAAAAAATAATATATAATAAAAATATTATAATTCTTATTTATTTTTATTTTTATAATTTTTTTTTTAAATCGAGTTTGAACTAAACCGAACTTAAGCTCAAGCCTCATACTTTCTAAGCGAGCCGAGCTCGTACTTCATACTATTCAGTTTGGCTTGGCTCGCCACCCCTAAGAGTGAGTAAGATTATAAATGCCCGGAAAAAACAGAATAAAAGATGACACGCATACATATTAGCATCGTTAGCTCTGATGTGGCGTTGAAGTTCGTCTGAATATGAGGTGAGGGATCAAACCCATGCCACTGTAGGCTTTCCGTGATAAGGTCAATAGAGCTCACATGCACCCTGCTTTATCCCCACCGTTCAATCCCTTGTGCACACAAAAAAAAGTAGGTATTTTCTAAAACGAATGATTTTGTTTTGGGCAAAAGAATTTAAACCTCCCTTGAGGTTTCGGATAAATACTTATACCTCCCCTCTATTTTCTCATACGACTTAAACCTCCCTTGTAATAAAACGCCGTTAAATTTGATGAAATAGATGAAAAGGGTTTTTCACCCATTATCATTTTTCAATTTTTCAAAGGGAACCAATTAAAAGCTGTATTCTTTTTGAGGCCACGGTAAGGCTTGTTCAAATTAACCACGGAATGAATAGAGAATACAATTCCTTGGCCATATTGTTTTGAACAGTGTAGTGACAGAATCAGTTTAGAGAGAGAAAGAGACAAACAGGGAGGAAGAGAACCTCCTATCGTACTGCCTAAAGAAAAAAAAGGCTAAAGCAAATGAAGAAGCATAAACATCCATCTATTTTATGGACAAATATAATCAGAGAACTTCCCCTGTTGGTTTCATCGATCTCAAAATGATAAACTTGTGGGATTCAAAATATCCTCGAGAAGATGATGCGTCTGAGTTGAAACGCGCTATCATAATTTGCCTGTATATCTAAATATTTGTTTTCTTTACCCTTGCCTATAGTAGTATTTCCCTGCAATTACGAATTTGTCTAGCATAAGCTCGCGTAGTTATGGATGGTAGAAAGTCTTTTTCAGCTTAGAGAAGAAAAAACCACCACAGAAAATAAGTGTTGACTATTTTAAGGAGTTAATTACCATAGATGTGTCGCTTTAACGAAACAACTACTGATGATCTACATTGTTAGACATGATACGAAATGCAACAAAAGGATCTCGAGGGATTTGTGAGGGAAACCTCGAGAAATTCATGAGAGAGATGATAGAATTAATATCGGCAAAGTTGGGTTTTTAGAAAAATTTCACCCACACCCATATGCTATTTTCAAATGGATTTTGAAAGATTGCTAACGGAGAGGAGATTTTTGTCCTATAATATCACAAAATAAGGGAGGTCACAGTCCATTTTAAAATAAAAAGGGAGGTTTCAGAAACTTTAAGGAATGTTCAAGTCTTTTAACAAAAAAACAAAAGTAACTGTTACATCAGCAAAAACAAACCAATTTACATTATCAAATTAACAACCCCTAATCGCTATGTTTGGTTTGAAGGAAAAGGTAAAAAAACCTATACAGGTTTATAAAGGTTTCTTACCTTTCCCTTCCTTTCCTTAATTTTCCCTCAAACCAAAACACAGCTTAAGTGATTACCAATAGCCTCAATTCCAACTCATATAGCTAAATGAAACCTGAGTTTCTCTCTCTCTCTCTTCTCCCATTGAGTGTTCAGTTTTAAATTAGTGGTAGAGCCTAAGAATTCTCAATTTTAGATATTGGGAACATTGGGAATGCTAACTACACGGGATTTGATCAATCCGTATTCATACTATTATTAGTTGAATTGGGTTTCATTGAGTCTGAGAGTTTGGGTGCCCTAAAGGCTTCTGAGCAGCTTATTTTAATGAAGCATCAAATATGACCATTTCCCACATAAAGTTTATTTGTGCATGATTTCAGGAATATATATTAACATAATAGCTCCTATGAAGTTTGGAACATTTGTAATTGTGAAGTGTGTAACAAAAAGGTTTCTAACTTTCTACTTCTTCCAACCCAAGTAACGAATTTACAGATAAATTGGCACTCCAACCAGCTGCCAGGAAGAGGGAAAAAACAAATCAACAGAAACAATTCTGCTAGTATAGTGCTTATTTGGTAGCTGGGATGATCAAAACTTACATCATATTCAAAGGGAAGAAGAAGAAGAACCAATTAAATAGTAATATCTAAGATTGATATTGATGTAAGCTGTAGCTCTTTCTTAGTTTCCATTTCCTAGACACATGTTGTAACTTTATTTTCTTCTTCCCCGCAATCTTTCCGTCCGAACCGACTGGAATACGCCCTTGCAACTGCATCCCATGAGGCTTAGTCTTCCCAGTCCATGACTTAAACCTAATTCTAGTCGCCAACCCCAGCCTCGTCTCTGCTGTTGCATTCGATATCGCCGTGAAAATCTTTTTCAGAAACCGACCATCGGCGTTAATACTTTGGCTGATTTTCTTGGTCTTACCCTTGCCTTGATAGAAATCAGGGAGGAACGTTTCTCCGAGGATATCGTCGTTGTAGTACAATGTCATGTTGATGCCGTTGTAGTAGATGCCGTAGCCGTTGTTAGGGTTCTCAATTTCCAGGTCGAAGGAGATGGCTGAATTCTGAGCATCACCTGGGTCGACTGGAGACGTGGCCGGGAGGCTGAAACTGATGACGGTGTAGGTGAGGTTCTTGGGACGTAAGGCTAGCCACAGGACAAGGGCGAGGAGGCCCGACAGGACCACGACTTGGATAAGCCAGAGACGAAAACTGTTGGTCTCACACATTGTGTGGAAGATGGAAGATGTAGCAGTGAGTCAATCTATGGAGAATATTTAACTGAATTAGTATGATATGATAATATGGGTTGGGTTGGGTTGGAAGTTGGAAGTTGGAGCTCTCAGCTCTGCATTATTAATGAGAAAGAAATGAGTAAAGGTAAATAGTTTGGGTTGAGGGAGGGCAGTTGGTTGCTAGAAAAAGACGAAGGGATTCTTTTTAGTGGAAGAGGGAAACAGGATTCTATTCCTCTTTGGTTGAGAAGTGTTGTTAAAAGATGCTTTTCTTCTTGGGCTTTATTCTTGTTGCTTCTTACTAGGGGAATGCATGGGATTTTGGTCGTGATTATGAAGCCTGGAGTGGAGATTGCAAATTTGCAATTAGACAGAACAGCTAGCGCTTGATTAGTATATCTGATCCGTTCCAGACTCCTTTCCTGCCCAGCTAGCAGTTTTTAATTTGGATCACGTATGGAATAGCTTCCGTTAACAGAGAACACACTTCACGGGGGAGGGTTGTAAAGGGGTGCTGGTGTGGGCTGTGGGGACAGAGCAGGGTGAAGTGAACGATGAGGTCCATTGGCCTTACCACGGAAAGCTTGCCTCAACTATATATGGACATCTCAATATTTACAAGACACTGAACGACCATCTCAACCACTGTTTTTGAGCCACTATTTGTTGCAAATACAAAATATTATACATACAAGGTTTTGTACTGTATATATATTAATTTGTATTATTACTCTTCCCAAACTGAACTTTAAAGCAAGTATTGAGGGGTGGCTAAGCATGTTGTGGTGTTTTCCAAACCAAATGCCACCCATTATCATTCCTAGGTAGGCAAATACATGATAATAGAATCATTGTTCAGGCCATGAGAAAGTTGAAACATAAAACAGGGAGCTTCATGTTCAGGCCATGAGAAATTGTCTAAAGCCTATGGACAGAGTTGAATTTTTTTATGGACTTTAGAACTCAGAGGTTTGTCATCAGTCATACAATTTTGTAACTTGATCCCGTTGCTGCATTACCATGATCATGACCTCTTACAATCTTTTAAACAGGCCAGAGGTCTCCGATAGGCCGGGATGCCCTCTTTCCATTAAGAATGACTGATCAGTCCATGTCAGAATTTTTTAGCCCCACCATACAGGGGAATGAATTCTGACTGCGAATTGATGCTAAATTCACAGACAGGATGCGGTTTAGGGGGGGGGGCTACTAGTAAACTATAGGAATTGTCATTCAAAATTCTGCATTGGATTACAGTATAATTAACCCAAAAATCAACCACCTTGTTGACGATCCCACCTATTTTATGTCTAGTACTGTTTGCCTGTTGATCGATCTCTATTTGCAATAAGATTGATGTAGTGACACATGATCATTTTTGGTGGGGTTTTAGGACTGGTTTGGAAGCACCTAACAAGAAGTAAAGGTTTTTGGAGGGATGGGATTTTGCAATGCTCTTACTAAGAATAAAATTCTCATTTTAAATCTTTGTTGGAGATTTTCAACAAGCAAGGTCCCTTGGCGAATATTATAATTACATAGCCGATTGCAGGAGATTGTTGGGTGTCTAGCTTATCTCAAATCTTAATACCTTACGTTCCTAATACAGGTAAGTAGGTAACAGGGTTGCACAAACTATTGCAAAGCATGCTTGTATTGTAATATCTCAAAATCTTATACGTGCAGGTCTTTATTTCACAGACTTGAAGGAATGATCTATCTACGGGCTTTGTTTCAAAAAAAAAAAAAAAGAAAAATAGTGATATAAATAGGACTGTTAATGGGGGCTCAAGAATCTGAACACCCATCTATCATCTAATATAATAATTTTATAATATCAACATGTTGTATTTATATTAATTTATTATATATTAAGGAGAGTCGGATTAAATCCAAATCTGATCCGAGATCCTCAAATCTAATTGGATTGGATAGGGTTATTGCTGAATCCGATCCGATTACAGCCCTAGGTATAAGGCTTATTTTGGTTGGTTGCGATTTGTGTGCTTAGGTCCATAAGACCCCTAACCTGAAATATTAGATTGATAATTGAAAATGACTAACAACAAAATAATGACAAAGAAAGGATAAACAAAACTAGAAAAGTTGTTTTCAGTAGACTCATGCAACATTATCTGTTGTTCCCTTTCTTTTGGAGTCTGATTTAGTCTTATTTTCCCTTTTCTTTTCTCCACGGGTGTAATTTGCCTTAGGTCTTTGTACAAGCAGCTACATGTCTTATCTAAGTGAGCCAGTTGGCACCTCAAAAAATGAAACACATATTTATAAATAGGGAGAATGATGGTTCAGCCCAGGATTAGAATTTTTAGACCCAAAGTACAGTTGGAATACGTGCTTGGAATTGATGTTAATTTATAGGTTGATATTAGTGTATAGAGTGAGGATATTTGATATTTTGAATTTTTATAGGTCTGATTGAACCTATCCCTACTTTTCGGTTTATAAATATCCAAATTAACTGCACTTGATGACTGTATTAGAGTAATTTGGATTAGTGGAACACAGTAGCTGTAGAACCAATGGTAATATTCCACATTAGTAAAAAAATACATGAAGCCCATAGTGAGAGGTTGAATAACTTGAAGTCCTATATATTTGACTGACAGCCTACTAAACAGCTATCGAGTTGGACCATCAAGTGCTTATGCCTCACGAATTTGGATTCGCTCCTCTTAAAGTGCACCTTACATCAACAGCCCTATGGCACCCTGTATTAAAAACATCTCCTAAGAATAACATAAAGTACAGGAGAAGTTCCCAATGTATAGCTTGGAGGTGTTGTGACGTTGGTGTAAGGAGTGCTAGGGTCATATCCGGACTCATGCCCCACAACCACTTAAATTCTCACGTGGGGACATTTTTGCTAGTTAACAGCCCTTACATAACCATCAAGTGCACTAATCCGAATTGCCCCTTCACAATGCAATAATTATAAAATTATATTGCAGAAGAAAACAAAAATTATAATTATTGTATTATACTAAAGCTAAAGCGATGTTAAATGTGCATAAAATAAATTTTATACAAAAAAGGATTTTTATTTACATAAAATTAATAAATATATTTTTTAATTATAAAACTATCATGTAATTTCTAAGCACTCAATGCATTCATTCTTTCACTATGTATAAATAGAAAGCCAGACAGAAAAAATAGAATAAAAAATTAAATTGAAATTACATTTTTACATGTTAAACAAAGTTTTCATTTATTCAAAATATTTTTACTTGATTTGTTTGTAAAATTGAAAATAATAATAAAATTATTTATTGACAATTAAATACCACATCAGTGAATAAATATATAACTATTGAGGGAAATATTAAAATAAAGCTTTCTCAATGATAAGCGTGTAAATAAATTAAGACCAGCTTTTGCAAGTTTTTATGTATTTGAATCAGTATAATGGGCTAAATGCTAAAGTAAAGTGATGCCTATATTGCAACGTTTATTAAAAAAATGCCCACAATTCCAAATATCGCCTTAATTTGCCAGAAAAATATTAAAAGATACATTTGTTTTGAAAAAGCAGATACACAGATTTTCACACCTCTTTAAGTGTTCGAATTTGTTATTCTCCATGGCTTGCCAAGTTGCCATCCGAATCGACCCGCATGTTTGTATGAAATTCCTTTCTGTAAAGCTTCTTCTCGGAATTAGTTTAAGCTTTGACGATTTAAAGATTCTTGTATTAAGGGGAGACTGGGAGAGAGATACCATGGGTGATGACTGATGGGTGCGGAAGGTCGGTTCGTACCTCACACGCCAATACAAGACTTTTTACAGTAGTCATAACCCGAAGGGGTACCCGAAACCACAACCATGTTGAAAATATATCAGACATGGAAAGAAAGAAACCAAATTTATCTGAAATAAAGCAAGCATCTCTTATCCTTGGAGGACGGCAAGATCAGACCATCCTGGCCCACCGCAACGTCACAATTGGCGTTCATCCTATGGTGCCTAGTCTCCCACGTGGCAACCTTGAACCGGATCGTGGACCTTAATTCCAAGCGGAAAGCTATCATCCTAGTGACTCGATCAGCCATTAACTCCTTCCACCCATTCCCACCATTGACACTCAACGTGGGCGCTGTCAAATTGCCATGGATCCACGTCGTGTTCTTGGGCGGTTCATAGAACGGAAACAGAACCGGCGTTCTACCGATGCGGCGACCCCTGTTGTAAACCCATACATCCGTGGAGTCGAAGTATATCCCGATATTCTGGTTGGGGTTCCGTATCGTTACGACAAACGATATTTCAACATTCTCAGAGCCGTTTTGTTCAGAGAGACCCGGTACCGAGAACTGTTCAACGTGGAGCCTGGGTCGGTGGGGACGCAGGCTAATCCAGAGAATGAAAGCCAAGATTCCTAAGATGAGGATAAGACCCAGTAAGATGGTACAAAGTAGCTTACTAAGGCGGGCGGAGAAGCTGCCGCGGAGTGTCGAACTGAAGGGACGCTTTGATGGACGGTTTTGCTGCGGGGGGATATGGATTGGTATGTCGTGGTAGTTTGACATTTTCCGACGAGAAATATGAGATTTTTCCGGCGATGGGTGTGGGCAAAGTACTTGGCAGGGGTGTTTATGTAGGAGGTAAGGAGGAGTTGGTGAAAAGATGTTTAAGAACCGTGGGTTACTTGTGTAGAGCAAGGAAAGAATAATCAATCTCTCCTACTGCAGATTGCGTATATGTTAGATTTTCTTTTAAGAAAAAATTTTAATGTTTTATTAAAAAGCCAAAAATTGCTTCGAGTGGTCTTTCCATTGCCTGTGGAAGATACAATTTTAATGGATACAAGTTAAAGAGAATGATTCAAATTGAGTGCTTGCTTTGCTTGTCGTGTAGTTTATTTGCCATGTCTGGTTTCATCTCAATGTGCGCCAATGTATGTTTCTTTCCCCTTTCGGGAAACATTTGGCTCCTAAATCGTCCCATATTTTGATTTTATGGTTGTCTTTGGGTTCAAAGGATTTAGGATTTAGAATTTTTTTAGGGGTCAATTTGGAAAGAATATAAATATAAATATGTATAGTACAAATATATAAAATAATATCAACTACAAGATTTTGCACTTTAAATAATTATATTTATACTAGTGGGGCTG